CCCTAGGGTGAGAGGGGCCAACTCCTAACCAATGTTAGTCCTAGAAAAATATTTAAGTCTAAACCCAAGGCCATTTTTTTACTCTGCCACAATTTTCTTTAGATTTCTTTACCACCGAAAATATGTTCACCGAAAAGAATATGTCAAACCTCAAATTCCTCTTTAGTTTTGGTTAATTTATGGTTATTAGCGCGTGTTTTGTCAGGGTGCGGGCTGGCAGGACGGTATGATAGGATATGACTAGTAGGAACAGGTCATAACAGATCAGATTCCCATTGACAGGTACAGGCAGGGGCAGGCTATTATACAAGACGTAGCTCGAAGAGCTACAACAGGATCTAGAACTGAAGTTCAAATAAACAGGTCGGAGATCACGTGCCATGATCTTCCTCTTACTAAGCATCACGGTTCGCACCGTGACATGTTTCAGCGCGAAAGGTAGTCCCACGAAGGCGCGTTCGAAGGTTTGATTCGGGTATGTCAAAACGGCGCGCTGCTTCGCGAATAGCGCTAATTTCTTGCCTCTTAATAGCCTGGATAGCTAGTAAGATCCTACCCTGCCTCTATGAAATTTTGAGAAGATTGAGTACGAATTGGTGGTATAGTGGGTGGTTGAAGAAGAAGGGGGTAAATTAGTTGACGCGTTTTGGTGGGGTGCGCAGCTCGATGGTGTGCGTAGCTCACTGGTGAAATACGTTATAATGAATGCCTAAGTTATTATATAAAGACTTCTAAAGCTTATTTCTAACACCGGTTTAAAAAGTGATAGTGTGTTAAGTCTTTATAAATGTAATCAAATTACTTAAAGATAAAGAGAAAAAATACATAAACAATGTAGGTCACAAGGTTAAGAAATTCTACTTACTAAAAAGGGCCACGGGCGCCCACGACGCCTAAGGCCCGTGGGCCCTAAGGGTAGGGCCCGTCCATAGGCGTATCCATAACCGTGCCCATTTCCCGCTTACACAAGGCCCATGGGCAATGCCCACCCGACCTTCCATGGGCGATGTCGCAGTCTATATCCAACCATATGCCCCGAAGGTGCTTTACCGAGAATGCCATCGAAAATTGAGATAGCCTCCAGCGCTGCTACCTGGGATAAATAAATACTACTAGTTGGAGACTTATCTCCTCAGACTAATGATGGATCACATGGGTCTCCCTACTATATTCCGAGGCAAAAAAGTCAACAGTTAGCCCCTACCACACCTGAAATGTAGATAGGTGTTCCCGAAGTACGAAGTCAAAAGTGCACTCCCGTCTTGTTCCATGTTTGCATAATAGATTTGAGCTGTCACCTACTTTCATCCAAATGGTAAGATGGCCGAGTTGGTCTAAGGCGCACGGTTCAGGTTCACCTGATCCCGATGGTACACAACTGTCTCCGTGTCTCGAAAGGGGCGTGGGTTCAAATCCCACTCTTATCAGTCTTTTTGTTTTTGCTGCCAGGTTTCCCTTTGCTGCCAGGTTTCCCTTGTCGGATGAGTAGTGGGGTTGGTGGAAGTGGTGGATGACTTATTTTGTTGAACGTTTGTATTGTCTGGCGTAACTCATGCCAGCCAACACAAGTTGGAATTTGGATACCAAAGGTATGAAAATTGTGCCCAAAGCCTTGACTTTAAACAGCAAGCAAAGAAGACGAAAGCGAGAAAGCAGAAATTAGCTCGAGGTGCATATGCATATCTATAGTCTAGCTCCTCGAAGAACACAAGGAAAAAAAAATCAACAAGCAACCACCAGGCCAAGTCGGAGAGCCTACAACTAGAGAGAGCACCTCCCCTAAAGCAGCGAGTAGCCCAAGGTAGTAAGTAGCGCACCGAAAACAACCAGAATGTTCAATATGCTACAATGTCGAGACTGGTTCTATGTACAGTTCCTGAACCGAACCCGAAAAAAATCGCCAAATGCCAGGACGAGAACACGATGGAAAACAAGCACGAAGAGGAACATGTGCTTGAGCCACTACAGCTTAGCTTTGGGAGCAGACTGCTCTTCGACGGCCTGCTCGTACAGCCGGTCCAACAGAGAACGGTATAGCTTGACAGTAGGGGGACGCTTGAGCTTGAGACTGTGGAAGGGAGAAAATCATGTTAGTAATGCTGGGATGACAACGGCGAAATCCAAAACTTACGTCGGTGTCAGCAGGTTGTTCTCAACAGTGAACGGCTCCACCTTGAGAGAGACGTTGCGGACTCTCTCATAGCCAGCAAACTTGTGCTTCTTAGCC